CGTGTTGTGGGGTTGTTAACCAATGTCATAAAACAATATGTGTACTACTGTTTCATGAGAAACTATTTGTTCTGTAAGCCTTCACCTGAAGTACAATTAAAAAAAGATTAAAAAAAATTATTTACAATTGTTTTAATCTGTAGCCTGAGAATTATGTAATCAAGGTATTGTATTTTAATTTACTTGTATTGATTCTTTTTTTGTCCATTCTCCAGTGTAATTATGAAATTCATTTGAAATACAGTTAAGTCCAAGTCTTTTATTTTTGTATTTGTCCTTTCTCTTACCATTCCACTGTATTACATTTCATTGTATTCTGATTCTTGTTGTTAGGTGCCTTCAAGTGCACAGCGACCTAGTCCTTAAGGACACACACCTGGCCCTTCTCCTGACCCGGCCCACCTCCTCACTCCCCACACTGGGCCTTTCCTGGTCTCTCCCACCACCTCCCTCCTGACCACTCTCATCTCAGTCCCCACACCTGGGCATTCTCCTGATCCTTCTCCTCAACTCTCCACACCTGGTCCACACCGTGTCCTTCTCCTGGCTCCTCAACCCCTCCCTCTCCTCCACTCCTGCCGCCCCGCCCCGCCCCGCCAGCCTCCTCACCTGTGCCGATGGGCGGGGCGGCGGCCAGGTGTCCCCGCCCTGAGCCCTGACGCCACGGATGCGCTGAGGGTCACTGGTGCCGATTGCAGGCGCCTTGCGGAGGCGGGTCTTCTTGCTCCTCTACCTGCCCTACTTCCTGAAAGGTCGGAGACACGGGGACTCCAGTGAGGGGACACGCTCTCAGGTTGGACGCGCCTGACCCCATGAAGGTGTTGGGCAGGCGCAGGGAGGTGTAGTGCTCCCACCACTGTGAGCCCGTCTACTGCTGTAACATCGCCATCTGGCTCCCTGGTCCCTGAGTGTGCCCTCCCCCCGGGCCTCAGTGTCCCCATGTGTTCCAGGAATCTGAGGGTGTTGTAAAGCACCGGAGGTACCAGATTAGCATCCCTTACCCATGGCAGGAGCATCCCACTTTGCCTCGCCTAGCCTCGGGTGATTCCCCTGTTGGGGAGGGGGGAGTCACGGCCAGGAGCACACAGGGGACAAGCCCAAAGGACCCCTCTCCAGGAATCAGCATCCACATTAGGTACCGAGAGGGAGCCCCTGGCTCCAGACACACAGCGGGCTGGTGGGATTCACACTCCACATGTGTGGGAAAGTCCAGCCATTGACTACCCTCAGTCCTGGGAGCTTGAAGGGCTTGGCGAGAGAGGCCTGGCCCAGGGTTGTGGGCACACTGGGGGTCTTGGGTAGTTGAGACCTCAAACCTGTTGGGCGGGTTTGTGGGCCAGGCTGGAGGAGGGGGTGGCCTGAGGCCCCTTCCCGCACCTCTGACAGGGCTGGGAACAAAGGTCTAGAGCAGTGCAGACAACACCCTCAATTGCAGTCCCTTGGGGAGGAGCCCTTTTGCTGCCTCCACCTCATCTGCACCTTAGGGTTCACCAGAGATGAGGGGAGGGAGGGGTCAGCCCCTCCTATGGCGGAGGAGACCCTTTGTGGGGTGGACGGGGTATCAACAGGAGGGGACCCCACAGGGGGCTTGTCAGCCCTGGGAACTGCGCCCTGGGTGCTGATGTTGTGTTGTTCATTTAAACATTTATGTGGTGCTTAAGCACTCCCCTGCTAACTAAAAGGTGGGAGGTTTGAACCCACCAGCCTCTCTGTGGGAGAAAGATGCGGCAGTCGGCTTCCATAAAGATTTACAGTCTTGGAAACCCTGTGGGGCGGTTCTACTCTGTACCACAGGGTTGCTGTGAGTCAGAATCGACATGACAGCAATGAGTTTTTGTGTTTTCGGTAATGTGTGCCAGGTACCATGGACCAGATGTAAATAATTAAAAAATTTACTAAAAGCAGCGTTTGTGTCTGTGGCCTTGTTTACTCTAAGCCAGGTCTGCAGCATCAAGGTAAGTTCTGGGAGAGGATGCAGCTCCACAAACACAGCACTATGAGGTTCTAGATGGGTGAGGGTTTGAGGTTGGGTTTACGTGTTAGGACTGAAGGGTTTTAGGATTAGGGTCACTGTCAAAGCCTAGGGTCAAAGTCTAGGTCTAGGATGAACATTAAAGGACCATGGTCAGGGCTGAGATAAAAATTAGGATTAAGGGCTAGGGGCTAAGGGGGCTAAACATGGTAGGGGGGTTTAGGGCTAGGGGGATATAGCATTAGAATTTAAGGTTAGAAATTAGGGGTTAGGTGTTAGGGGCTGGAGTTAGGGGTTGTGGTGGGGGTTGGGGGTTGAAGGGTTAGAGCGTGAAGGATTAGGGGTTGGGTTAGGGTTAAGAGTTCGGGGTTAAAGGCGTAGGGGCTTAGGGGCTAACGTAGAGGGTTCGAGAGTTCGAAGTCTCCCCTTAGGGTACTGGTTCAGCTCAGGTTCGGGTTAGGGTTCGGGTTTGGGTTGAAGATGGGGAGAAAGCTGAGGGTTAGAGGGATAGGGCTCAAGGATTAAGGTATGGATTAGAGAGTTAGCATTAGGGTTTGGAATTTAGGATTAGGATTTAGAGTTGGGTTTAGGGTGCAAGATTTAGAGTTAGGGTTAAGGGTTAAGGGGAGTATTAGGGTTAGGGTTAGTGGTTAGGGTTAGGGTTCGGGTTTGGGTTCGGGTTTCGAAAAGGGTTAGGTTTCGGGTTCAGGTACGGGGTTCGGGGTTAGGGTTGGGGTTAGGCGTTAGGGGTTAGGGTTAGGGGTTAGGGTTAGGGTTAGGGTTAAGGTTAGGGGTTAGGGGTTAGGGGTTAGGGTTAGGGTTAGGGTTGGGGTTAGGGTTGGGGTTAGGTTTAGGGCTAGGGTTAGGGCTAGGGCTAGGGTTAGGGTTACGGCTAGGGCTAGGGTTAGGGCTAGGGCTAGGGCTGGCGTTAGGGCTAGGGCTAGGGCTAGGGTTAGGGTTAGGGTTAGGGCTA